CCCTCCCTCTATCCGGAGGGACTTCCCAAGGGGTTAGTCACAGCAAGCCTCACCTCCCACCAGGGAAGCAGCAAGACCTACAGATGAACTTTTTTCCCCTGATGTATTCTTAGGCAGAGCAAAGGCAGATGGCAGGCTGGCTGGTCACGTGTTCTTGACCTAGAGTATGGGAAGCCATTGGCTACAAAAAGGTGACTACTTTGTATCTGCTTCTTGGGTTTCTGCATCTTTACTTGTGTATGTTTTTGTTGTTATAATTGTCATGGTGGCACATTTCAGTGAAGTGACCCTCTGTCCTTTCCTTTCCTTCCCTTCTCTTTCTCTTTTTCTATGTGAGGAATGGAACAGAGCTTCCTACAAGTTAGGCAAGTCCTCTACCATGGATGTCCATCCCCAGCTCTTACAATACATTATCAACTAGAGTCTCCATACTGTACCTTCTGTCTTTATTTAAAAATTTTAATTTATGTTTGTGTGTATGTGAGCCACATGTATGCAAGTGCCCATGGAGGCCAAAAGAGGGTGATGGGTTCTGGGAGCTGGAGTTATAAAAGGTTGTTAGCCACCTACTGTGGGTGCTGGAAACTGAACTCCAGTCCTCTGGAAGAGCAGCCAACACTCTTATCTACTGAGCTATCCCTCTGGAACTGCTTTCATTTTAATTTTTGTCTGCTTTTCCAGCTCCTGGTAAATTCTTGGTATCTCTGTAATTTCTTTTCTGTTTATAGGAATGAGTTGTTTTGAGGAGTTGACTATGCACATGTTTGGAAATGCATGCTCCCAAACTGAGTTCTAGGTGTGACACCGGGGTGACTGTAGTTTGGACACCGTCCGTGTACAGTAGGTAGATGGGAAACTCAGGCTCTGCAGTGAGAGCAGCTAGAGCTGGAATTTGGGTTCTGTCACTTAGTAGCTGGGTGAGCTTCTGCATGCGCCTTAGCATTTCAGGGTATCATTTCCTCCTCAGCAGAATGCAGATATTGCTCACATGTTATTGTAACAATGTGACAATGTTAGAATCCAGCCTCTGGGCCTGGACATGGTGGCATATGCCTTTAATCTACTCACCTGGGCAGAGGCAGATGGATGGATCTTAGTGAGTTTGAGGACAGCCTGATCTACATATAGAGTTCCAGTCCAGCCAAGGCTACAAGAAGGAGACCTTGTCTAAAATCAATCTGTCAATGAATCCAGCCTCTGATTAGGCCTGCCTCCACCCAGATAATCAACAGGCACCCTACAGAGACTGTTAGCACCTGTTAACAGATATCCTAGGACTGAGGTTTC